AATAACTTCATTTCTGGACATTTATGGTTTGATTTCTTTGTATGTATGGATCACTTGGGCTGTTACCAACATCTGGTGAAAATTTAATGTCATTAGCACCTCTAGTAATATATTTACTGAGAAAAATGGTGACGTGTTCAAGACTTATTTTACCCGCTGTACATCCAGGATGGTTTAGTTCCACAGCTCAAGGCCATGTAGGAGATGATAATGAGGAAGGTGATGGTAGTCTTCATTCACTGTAGTCAAAAATTACCTCAATCCAATCTTTTTTACCCAGATGTGATTCAAATCTGGATTTTTGACAGTCTGAACGTGATAAATCAAATTTTCTTTTCATCTGTGGTCTTAAACCAGACCCTCATCTTCAGCTACAGAACAGAAGCGCAGCTGCTATACATTCATCATGTACTGACGACTGAGACACAACATTGGGTTATTTCTTTGTTGTAACAATGCTTCTTGACAGTAAATATTATCTCGTTGGAAAGCCTGTATTTTCCCTTTGTAAATGCTGCCACATTTGAAAGGAACATATTATCAAAAACAGCTTATTTTGTTGTTGCTACTGATTTTTGCCTGGAGCTTCTGGTTTCCCCAGGTGCTGCCAATCAAGAAGCATTGTTACAAAGAAATAATCTACCAAACACTGATTTACTGATTAGCTTTACATGTAACAATGTAATTTAGTGACAAAATAAAAGTTGTAACTATTGACACTTAAGAAAACATGAAGGTTGTTTCAACCATTGATATGTATTACTTATTATATTATTTGTGTGGGAACTCGTTCCCTCCTGAAACAAACAGGTACACAACTGTGTAGTGAGCATTTAAACAAAACCCTTCTCCTAATTGTAAAAATATATCTTTTAAAATAATTCTGTCTTTTTGCTTATCCCAAGTTCAGAGGGTTTAAGTTTTCCATCCATCTTTTACCTGCTTCTTCCTTTTAGGGTCACTGTGCCAGAGGCGGGGGACCCTGGACAGGTCTCCAGACCCTCACAGAGACAAACATTCACTCTCTCACTCACACTTAGGGACAATTTAGAGTTACCAATTACCTCAGCAGTCATGTTTTTGGTCTGTGGGAAGAAAACAGAGTACAAGAAAACCCACACATGCATGGAGAGAACATGCAAATTCTACCCAGAAAGGTCCCCGGGCCGAGATTTGATCAAATCTTCTTGCTTATCCATCCATCCATCCATTTTCTGTACACGCTTCTTCCTTTTCAGGGTTGCGTGAGTCACTGGTGTCCATATCCAGCAGTCACAGTGTGAGGGGCGGGGTACACCCTGGACAGGTCACAAGTCCATCACAGGGTCACACATAGAGACAAACAACCATTCACTCTCTCACTCACACCTAGGGACAATTTAGAGTTATCAATTAACCTAACAGTCATGTTTTTGGTCTGTGGGAGGAAGCTGGAGTACCCGGAGAAAACCCACGCATGCACGGAGAGAACATGCAAACTCTACCCAGAAAGGTCCCCCGGTGACCTTCTTGCTGAGAGGCATCAGCTCTACCAGCTGAGCCACTGTGCCGCCCATCTTCTTGCTGAGATGCAAATAAAATTCACAAAAAGTAGTTGAGCTGCTTTTTACTGTCTCGTTTCAGTCCTGGTATTTATCTGTGGGTAATTATACATTCTGGGTGCTAACAATAGATTTGAGTTCGTTTCTGAAGGTGCGTTGCCTGTGGCGGCCATCTTGAGATTCCTTCTGTTACAATTTTCCTGAGGTCAAAGTCCAACCCAGAACTTTAACCGTATTTGTAAAGCATTCCCAAATAAAGGTCACACTGCAGGTGTTTCTCTGTAAATATTAACATTTATTTAGGTATACAATTTAGTATTGTCACTCATCGCCCCACTCTGCCCCGTTCACAGGTTTCATGTCAGGATTCGGCTTCTCGATGCAGCATTAAGCCTTGCTGGACAGTAAAAACTCAGAAAGCCTAACAGTTAAAACGAGCCTCGGTTATTCTTTACATTGTTCACAGGTGAAAGAGAACAGGCGCTGCACAAAAAGCCGTATTTGGTTCATCATTATTTGCTTTTCCAAACATTAGCAATAAGGAGGCATTTACAGTTGCATTGCATAAACTCATCATTTGTTAATGACTAGATGAGAAATGATAAGATTTCTATATACTGTTTATATATATTTTCTTTTCTCCTGTCATGTTAGAGACAGTTGATGGGACAAAACAGAGTGAGTCAGATGAAACGTCCTGTCGGATCAGAAATGCCTTCATGAGTTCATGTGAGGAACAAGAAACTTCATCATCAAATGGAAATTAAGGACAACAAATACAAACAGAGAACAAAAACAAAACTAGTACAGAAAGTATGTGCAAATAAACAATTTCAATGACACAAAAAAGCATCAAAGTTTAAGAACAAAGACATGAGAAAAACAACACTGGACTGTTACTAAACTACGCTTTTAGTAGGAAACACAAAGGGTAAAAAATGTAAGAAAATAGTGTTATTTTGCATTTGAACTAATAATCACAGAAAGAGGATCCTGCCTGTTTGTTGCAAACGTCTCCCTTTAAGGTTCTGAACTGAAAGAATAAAACGTAACAAAGGTTTCCTCATGTGAGCCTCGTGTTTCTGAAACTTCTCGTCCCCGTCAGTAACAGAACAGCTGCTTGCATCTGTATCGTCTGCTAGCGATGCGTTTAAGTGCTTTCTAACAACACGGTGGGAGAGGAGGACAGTGAACACAACCCAGTGGTTCTCAAACTATGAGCTGCCCCCCCCGTGACTTTCATTTTAAGACACTTTACTTCTGGATTTCCTACTAATTTTCAAAATCAAGAATAAGAACTGAAGAATTCACTTCAACAGATTCTGATCATCCAAAATGAAAAAAAAAAAAAGGTATTTTTCAAACTGTAGGATTAAAGTTACATCTGTAACAGGTTAATTTTATCACAGTATTAAAGTCCCTGTGACATCATTTTTTAAATATAAATATGAATTCATTTTTGGAAAGATAACATTGATAACATGTTGCGAAAGAAATTTGACGCCGCTGACATAAACAGTTGAGATATTCACATGTGAAGAAACAGGAAGTGATGTCAAAGGGGAACGAGAGCAGAGCACAGCCACAACGGCCGACAACACAGACCGTGGAGAAGATCTGATGCTTTTTTTATTTTATTATGAGTCACTATCAGAGAGATGAAAGAGAGTCAAATAATATTTCAATAAACAAAGACCAGGAAGTTCATTTTCTTAAAGAGTTCCCCTTTGATGTCACTTCCTGTTTCACTTCGACTGAGCCAAGTTCAAAAGAAAATCTGTCAGTTATGTAACAAAATGAGTAAAATCATGTGTTTTATGTCAAGTTTCTTAAAATAAAGCTGTTTTCTTTGTGAAGGGTACGCACATCAGATACATTACTTTAAAGACTGACCTCTTTTTTTGCAGATCATTAAAAATAAATCAGATTCAGTCTGTTTTTAAGAAGTTATTTCACAGAAAGGTTTAGTTTGAGGTTCTGAGCATAAATACTGTGATTTAACAGCACTAACGTCTAAAATCATTTGCTTTGATTTATGAACTTTAAATGTAAATACATTATTTAAGTTTAATAAATGTAAATACGTCTTTGTTGTTCTAGTTCTTTTATATGAAATGTTTTAATTAAAAGGCGACTGAATGATATTTATTCTCTTTGTTTCTTACAGAGTTTTCTTGTGAAAGTTTCCACATTAGTGGATAATAGTTTTTTAATGACCCTGTGCTCCCGCCTCACAGTTTGAGAACCACTGCTTCAACAGATGAGGTATTGCACAGATTATTCTGAATAATCTTTACAAATAAAAAAAATAAAAATAAAAAAAAAGCAAAAATAAATATACAACTCAGTCAAACATGTACGTTACGGGTGGAGAGGCTGGAAGATTTCAGGAGATTTTTTTCGTGTCAGCGGCAGGTGCAGTGGGGAGGGGGGTCTCAGGGGGGGAACAAACATCTTCACTAGTCCTCCCACTCGTCATCATCCTCAAAGTCTTCCTCTTCATCATCATCCTCGTCTTCATCTGGGGACAGAGACTCAACAGTGAGGGGCTTCAGACAGATCTCATTCTTCATGTCAGACTCTGACTGGGCCGAGATTTTCTGATCCAACAGTCACGTCTTTCTACTCATTTAAGTTTGTTTATTTGGAACTATTTTTCATTTCAGAGCCCATTAAAACCATCAGCTTCCACTCTGACCAAGACTAAAACCCTGCGGGGAGTCTTTCAGCACCCACCTGAGGAATGAATGGCTTTGCTCCTCTTCTGCATCACCTCCATGAGGGCACCGACAATCCCTGTAGCGGGTGCTGGTGTTGGGGGGCCAGACTCTGGAAGATCCGACACCTGGAAACAAAATGTTAAATTAAAAAAAAAAAAAACTTTTAAAACAAATTTTAAAAGTCCGGGTTTTTATCCCACAGAAAGCTTGTGAGCACAACCTACAAACCTGACTCAGGTCCAGTTCTGTCAGGAGGAACTGGACTAAATCCTTTTAAATCATGAATTCTCTTTACTGCTCATTAATGAAAATGTTTTACCCACAGGCTAAAGCAGCTAAAAACATCATCACTAACAATTCAAACTGTAAAGAGTTCACATAAAGAAGAAAAGACAAACGGATATTAAAGATAAAATAAATTCAGTCAAAGGACAAAGTACTGACTGAAGTACACACAGTGCCACGAGTCAAACTGAATGACTAACATCCAGCCAGAGCGCCCACAGCCTAACTAAATTAAAATTAAAAAATGTTTTCCTTCCTTCATTAAATACGAAAATAGTTTTTATATCAATGGTAAAGTTTGAATTTAAGATTCAATAACAACAACAACAAAAAAAAACAAATTTAAAAGGTGAAATATAGTCATGTCCCTGATCTGTTGGCTTTAAAGGGATCCACGATTAGTTGTAACATTAGACTTTATATGATAAACATTTATTTTACCTGTAAAATAAAGACTGTAAAAATACTGTAGGATGTTCAATTTTTATAATTTTTAAACTAAAAGTTTTAGAATATATTACACGGATGGGGCCATTTTATTTACACGCAAAGCATTCTGGGTAAATGATGACATCAACTAGGGCTGTGTCCAAAACGGCAGGACGGGTCCTCCGAAGGTCGAATTTGTCGGCCGCATACGTCACAGCGCCGCGACGAAGGACGTCCAAAACGGAAGACTCCTCCGATGCGTCCGACAAATACGTCCTTCTTTTTCCCCGAATCGAAGGACAGGTCCGATGGATCCTTCCCGGCCCAGCATATCCCAGAATGCATTGCGGCCCGACCGGAGATTTTTTTAAGCTAGTAATGGCGGACGAAGCGAGAGAAAAGAATACGTTTTAAATAAAAATATGGTGATTTAAAAATTAAAAAAAATTAGCGGTTGTAATTCTAATACTTTTATCATTTGTATGGACATGTTTTTAAATATTATTTTTTCGTCATAAAAAACGCGAAATAAACATGAACCTACAGCGGGTCAATTAGTTCTTCAAATGATACCTTTAAGTTAATTTCATAGTTTTGTGATATTAATAATGCTAATGTATTGATATTTTTCTAGTTTTGATTTAAGTTTGCTTGTTTAGCGTCGTCACAGTTGCTAGGTGACAAGACGTACGCCGGGGTAAGGAGGGGAGGCTAGACCGTCCAAATCCACAGCCTCTTTTTTTCCGGTCTTCCCGGTCTACCAAGGACCCGGCCCTCCGAGACCGGGGAGTCTGGGTCCTCCGGAGGACCCGTCCTGTCGTTTTGGACACAGCCTAGGTCATTGATGTGAAGGTGCTAGCGAGCTATATCCACCCTGAAGGTTAATCTTGGACAATATCTGATGATCGACTCTTTTAAATGAAACCAGAGAGCGTTGACAGAGAGGAGAAGGTAGAAATGACTCAGCCTGTAACTGAAAATATGGATGGAGGACCTCAGTTTAGCTTGTTTGCCGCGCTAGCGCCGAGCTAATACATATAAGGCAATATAGCGTGGGCGCTAGCGCGATGGCTAACAGGCTCAGCTGAGGTTCTTCTTCCATGAAGCAGCTCTGTTGTCCTCCATCTATATTTTCAGTTCCAGGCTGAGTCATTTCTACCTTCTCCTCTCTGTCAACACTCTCTGGTTTCATTTAAAAGAGTCGATCATCAGATATTGTCCAAGATTAACCTTCAGGGTGGATATAGCTCGCTCACAGCGAGGACCTATCCACGTCATCATTTACCCAGAATGCTTTGCGTGTAAACAAAATGGCTCCATCTGTGTTAAAATATATTTTAAAAAATTTACAAAACTAAACAGCCTACAGTATTTTTACAGTCTTTATTTTACAGTTAAAATAAATGTTTCTCAAATAAAGTCTAATGTTACAACTAATCGTTGATCCCTTTAAGCAACTGTGGCCTCTGATTAATTCAGTTGAACAGCCTTGTTTTAATGTCTCAACATCTGCTGCTTTAAATCCAGTGTTGACCATAAACTACATCTCCCATAATGCATGTTGATTAGGCAGGGAAATTCCCTCAGGGTTCCTACAGCTTAAGGTAAATTAAATTTAAGACTTTTTAAGACCTCTTTAATGAGATAAGATGAAATTTTAGACCAACTTCACAATAAACACGAATTAAAAAAAAAAATACAGCAATAATTTTACCCAAATGTTTATTTTAATACAAATCGAGTCGCTGCGAGAGGCATTTTATCAGTTATTTAAAAACGTAAATAAATGTTATCAATTCTTTTAATGTTTGAGACGAAACCTAAAAGCTTTGACAGATTGATTTAAGACAATTTAAGGCTAATCAAGGCCTTATATTTGGATTAATGAATTCAGTGCCTTTTGAGACTTTTAAGGATTCGTGGGAGTTCAGGATTCAAGACTCAACACAACTCAGCAGCGAGAAAATTAACTTTTACTTTTAATATTATTTTTTATTATTTATTTAACATTTAGTCTAATTTTTATACATAAGACTTTTCAGTGTTTATAAGAGGACGTGTTTCTCTGCAGGAAATACCAGGTAGAGCTCAGTTAGTGTTTGTTGGCAGTGCTCAGGAACATGATGTTTCTCACTATTCTCATTCCAGAGGAAAGTTGCTCACTCTGGTGAACAACTGGAAGTTAAAGTGAGGCTCTTAGTGAAAGATAATTCATGATTTTGTTTAATTGACTTCTTTATCTCTTAAGTTATACAGATTAAAGGAGGTTCAAATTTTATTTTCTCATCCTCAAAGTGGATCACTCAGTAGATCAAAGTGTCAGCCTCTTTAAAGCAGGAGAACCTGTGGTTCTGATCCTGATTCAGCAGCGAGCACCTGTTCAGGTAAAGCGTCTTATTCTACATTGAGTAAACGTGGATGTGATGTGGGATTTGGTGCTCACAGTCTTGAGCTGGATCCCCTGTCGGATCTGGTCCAGCAGGGCGTCTCTTCCTGTGCTGGAGGCCGGCACTCTGTGATTCTGCTCCACCTTCTTCAGCTGAGTCCCTCCTCTGATCTGCTCCAGCAGAGCTGACTTCCCACCTGGACCCGGAGAGTTCGGAGAGTCCCCACCTCTGCCGTCCACCTCCGGAGGCGGAGGAGGCCCGGGGGGAGGAGGGGGAGGGGGCGGGGCAGGTGCGGCGTGTTCGGGAGAATGCTGAACCGGCGGCGGCGGTGGAGGGGGAGGAGCTTGTGGGACTGTGGAGGATGATGAGGTGGGGGGCTGCTGCTGGTGATGATGGTGGGGAGGGGGAGGAGGGGGGGTGTCCCTGGGCTTTTTGTTCAACTTGTGACCAGAAGAAAGAACTGATCTGGTTTCTGCAGGTTCTCATGGTCTTCAGTTCCACTTTGTCCCACATTTCACAGATGGGTGGTCCGACCAGCATCAAAGAAACCATGAAGGGTCTGATGAAGACCTGAAGCAGTTTGTTTATTTACAAATAAACAAAATCAAACAGTTTGTCTGAAGAACCACAAACATTTAAACAATCCACAAACCGTGTGTGTGTGTGTGAGTGTGTGTGTGTGTGTGTGT